TTTTTTAAAAGAGTATTTTATATGCTTTGACATTGCTCTAGAAAGAAATGGTCAAATTTCTTTTCTCTCCAATAACTTGCAAGTGAAATTCATTTGCTGTCACAGATTTTTAAACACTTCCCTTACAATAAATCCATGTTGCCAATATATAATCATCATTGTCATCATCACTGACATTGTTGTTAGAGTATTAATATTCAGCATGCATTCCTGCATCCATAAATTTAATTCCTTCCTTTGTATATTCTCCTCCCTCCCTCCCCATCTTTGGTTATAACTTATATGTTATTATAATTTTAATGTGATTTTATATATTTATTCATATAGTTATGGTTTCATTTTAATGTTTAAAGCCACCCAGAGCCACCTTGTGACGAGTTGGGCGGCAAACAAATTTAATAAATAATAAGAATAAGAACTGGAGGATAGAGTATTTAATTTGCTGAACTCTGGAGACCCCAAGATCACGTTCAGCCATGAAATTCTTTGAGGATTCTCTTTGAGGATTCCCTCACTTTAATCTTTCTTTCAGCCCAACCTAGCAAAGCTATAAAGATGAAAGGAAGAAGGAAGGTTATGTACCTGCCTTGAGCTCCTGGAAGAAAAATGGATATAAATTTAACAAATTAACATTAAGATCTGCAATGGGGGAAATTTTAGTGCTTTAGTGGTAAACTTGTTCAATACTACTACTACTTCTATTATTACTACTACTACTACTACTACTACTACTACTATTACTGATTATGATATGTTTATCATTCAAAGAATATCAGAAACCAAGTTAATCCTCCAAGCACAAGATGGTGCTGCTCTTTGGGGATGACCTTGCAGTAGGATGAATAGGTATTTCAGGGACTCTACACAGCAGTCAATCATTTGTTGAGGTTAACCTACCATGAGCTGAAGTGGACCAGTGTGTTCAAAGTGACATAACATAGAAAATGTATTCTGGATATGGTGTGCCCAGAATGGGAGTTTAATAGAAGACAACATCATCCATTTTGGTCCTCCAAAAATAGTTGTCAGGCCATGCTGGTAATGGGGCAAGCAACCACTCTGGATCTACCCTCTCAAATACCAATCTCATGTGATGTCAAAGGATTTTTGGTAAAAAGTGAAGGATATCCAAGCCATTGCCTGAGGTTGTGTACATCACCTAGAAGCTGCAAAAGTTGGCCATCAAAGCTATAGTGCTGCTATTTGAAGCATCTTTAGTGGGATGTGAAACAAAGCAAGTTTGGGTGGTTGATGTCCTGGATCAGGGGAAAAACGAACAACAGGATCAATCTCTATTTTAAAACATAGATGAAAAATACTGCACAGTATTTGGACAAGGCAATTCGTTAGCATGACTAGATTGTTGTGTCTCCTTCTGATCCCACTCTGGAAAATTTTAAATACAGCAGTTCAAACACTTTTATTTCAGTCTTTCTTTACAATACCTAAAGACTGCCTTTGTTCTCTGAGACCTTCTTGCATAAGCAAGCATGGAAATATGTAGGACAAGGCTTTGGTTGCTGTTGTTGTTGTGACGGAAAGAGACAATCATCTTAGATTTTAATAATTGTTGGATGGCAGCATCCACTCTCTAAAAGAAATCCAAGGCCAATCATACATTTATGCATAAGCATGAGTTTACCCTTCACCCAGCTACAAGTAGTGTCTCCCCACTAAAATTGGAGTCTGGAAACTTTACTAGCTATCAACAATCATAATATTGTGGGGGATGTTGGTTCCTCCTCCAAGAAGTTGGTGAGCCTGGCAATTCTTCTCCATCTCAAGCAAATTAGCCCATGTAGGCATGAAGAATTAACATGGCAAATGAGCCCTTGTCTGCAGACACTGAGGTAAATGAATGCTGCCTGGGGCAGCCCAGAAGGCAAATATCCTTTTAATAGAAGGGAGTTGGCTGAAACAAGGTGTGATAGAATCGCAGAAGAGCTTCCTCCTGTTGCCCCACAGATGCTGGACTTAGTGGCTCCAACTCAGGACATGTGTCTTGAAAACAACAATGGCTGGGGAAGCAGGGATATGCCCATTGTGGAAAATCTCCCCTCCAAAACCAAAAGATCCATACTTCTTCCGAAAGAATGACAAAAATGACAAGAAAAAAATTACACAAGTTCTTATGGCTTAAGTGCTACCAAATTTTGGATCATGGGGCTACTCTTATTATGAAAAGAGATTGACATGAAAATAAACAATCATTACAAATTTGTCACCAAAAACAAATACAATCGACTACATTCAGATTCAAACACAGCCGGGGCTCTGCACAGATGGAAAAAAATGATATAGTTCTGAGTCACTGATTTTTTTAAATGTGCCATCAAGTTGGCGTCATTTCTTAGTGACCACATAAATTGATTTTCACCATGATATTGCTTCCCTAACCTGATTTTTCCTTTGGTACGCTGATTACCACTGTAACTGAGTCCATCCACTTTGCTGCTGGTCATCTTCTTCTTCATCTTCCTTTTGCCTTTCCCAAGTTTAGATCTTTCTCCAGAGAACAAAGTCCTCAAATACTGTGTCCAAAGTAGGATCATTTTAGCCGGATCATTTATGCCTTGAGTCAGAACTCTGGGGGTTGATTTGTTCCATGATCCATTTGTTTCTTTTCTTGGCTTTCAGGGGTATTCTCAGAACTCTTTTCCAATGCCAACATTCAAAAACATCGATACATTTCCTACCCTTCTTCTTCAAAGACCAAGACCAAGTTTTGCTTCCATAGAGCCATAGGGAATATCATGGCTTGCACTATTTTCATGTTTGCAGGTCATGGCATCCAAATCTCTTTTCCAAGACCTACATCACTGCATCTACCAAGCACTAGTCTGTGGTATAATATTTCTTGTTCCATTACTATTGATGGTTGATCCTAAAAGGCAGATTATAATGTTTGTCTTGTACCACATGCAGGCCATTGTATCTAAATACTTCACTTTGCAAAGTGATTTTGGTGTAAAATATTTGGAAAAATCACATCTTTTCTGCAAGCTGTTATTTAAGTGGTACAGATTTCCTCATTTTATGTTATTGAATAAGAATGTCACAATTATCTTGCTCCTCTGATCTATTTTATACCAAAGTCCAAAATCCAACTAATGGTTCAATTCCTGAAAAGAAGATGAGACAACTGCCAAACTGAGTAAGGGTATACATTGTTTGTCACCTAGTTGCCTATCCATGGCACACCATGGGTTCACATGATGACATAGAGACAAATAATACCACCTTTGCTCAGTTTTCAGTCAAATAGGATGGTTCATTGGTCTTCAGACAATTTATCTGGAAATATCTCACTTACCTTCAAATCTCACTGATCATTTGCCAGATTAGTTCATGAAAATAAAAAAAAATTAAAAAACTATGTTGAGGCTCTAGAGAAGAGCAACATATATGATTAGGGTCTGGAAGCTAAACCGCACACTTGTGGGAACTAGGTATGTCAGATTTAACAAAGAGAAGGACTAGGGGTGACATGAGAGCAGTCTTCTAATACTTGAGAGTCTGTCACAGAGAGGCTAATGACGCGAAGGACTCACTGGAGAAGAGCCTAATGCTGGAAAAGATTGAGGGCAATAGAAGAAGGGGATGACAGAGAATGAGGTGGCTGGATGGAGTCACTGAAGCAGTAGGAGTGAGCTTAAATGCTCCAGAAGATGGTACAAGAAGGCCTGGAAGAACATTGTCCATGGGGTTGTGATGGGTCGGACACGACTTCGCAATTAACAACAACACAGAGAGGAGGGGGTCAACCTATTTTCCAAAGCACCTGAAGGCAGGACAGAAGTAATGGATGGAAGATTATTAAAAAATGATCCAGTTTAGAATTAAGGAGAATTTTCCTGACAGTGAGAAAAATTAATCAGTGGAACAGTTTGTCACCAGAGGTTGTGGATGCTCCATCACTAGAGGTTTTTAAGAAGAGATGGAATAAGCATTTTTCCGTAATGATATAGAGATCCCTGCTCAAGCAGGGGGTTGGACAACAAGATCTTCAGCATCTCTTCCAACTCTGTAATTCTATGACTTATAAGATCAAATCATTGTAATTATTACAAATTTAAAGCCAGAGAAGTCAGTTACTATGGCTCATTTCTGAAAATAATTTTCTTTCGAAAGAACTGGAAAAATCCACTTTCCTTCACAAATGGTATCAAATTATCGGAGAGTGTCTCTGTTCAAGTTTTATGTAGTAACTTTGACTAAAATGTGCCAAGGGAATTGGGAATTTCTAGAGGTCTTGTGGAATATTTCATTTGCTTCAATTGATTGGCATAGCATCCTTGGGTGGGGGGAGGCATGTGTCACATGTGCTTTACATCACTGCAGCACAAGCTGTGCATTTTACATATTTCCAAGTGACATCACAATGTAAGAAGGCAGAGTTTACATTGTGATCTCATAATACAAACTTTCAGCATTTTGACATTATCAGGGTTAGGAACAGATGGTTATGATTTGTGCAGCTTTGAATAGGAAGCCCTAAAATTGAAATATGGGTAATCTTCACTCTTGCCTGAGACAAGGTGCTAAAATGTCAAAGTTTCCAGAAGGCAAAATGCAAAAGACGCCTCTGAAATCATTTAGCTCAGGCCCAATTGCCATATGGAAAAAAGTTTAATTAGGTCACTCAAGATCACCACCAAGAGGCATGCAAGCCAAGCAACATTTTTCCATTTCAGATTATTTCATCCGCATCACGTTAGCTTTCTTTGAAGTCTTTTTTATTTGCACATTGGAAAATAAAAAGAAAATGTGCCTGCATGTTGACTATTTATGCATTCCAAGGAAAGGATGCATAATCTTGCCAACATGATGGCTATTTTGTAGCCCAGCCCAGATCCCAGGAGGTATATAAAGAATAATTCCTGATGTGAGCAGGAAAAGGCTTTGCTTTTGTCTGTAAGCCTCTATCTTCTTCTTTGGGAGCTCTGTTGGCAACTCAGCTTTGCTTCAACTACTTGGGTTCTACCTTTTCCTTAGCCATCATGAGCAGGCAATGCTGCACCTCTAAATCCTTTAATGGGAGACGGAATTATATTTCTAGCGGTGGGCTCCATGCGGGCAGCAATGTGTCCTCCTCCTTCCGCCTCCTTGAGCATAGCAGGAGATACTCCGGAGCAAACCTGAGCAGTGGACAGGGCTACAGGGCTGCACCTTTTGGCTACAGTCTTGGGCCAGTGGGCTTTGGTGCTGGAATTGCAAAGAATGAGGGATTTAGCAGCCAAAGTGCAGGGACCAACAGCCAGGCCAGAGCAGCTGGCAATCAAAGCAGCGGCCATCACAGACATGAAGCATTCAGCAGCCAGAGTCTTGGTGGTGGGAATAGTCATGGCAGACGCTATCGGCCAGAAGGTTTCAGCACTCGAAGTCTGGGTGGCAATGTCAGACGTGCTGTCGGTGTGAACTATGAATGCCTTAGCCGCTTTGGGGAAGGGAGGGGCATCCATACAGTCCGAATCAACCCAAACCTGTTGCAGCCTCTTAGGATCCAGATTGATCCAGAGATTTCTCGAGTGAAGGAGGAGGAGCGGGAGCAGATCAAAACCCTCAACGATAAGTTTGTCTCCTTCATTGATAAGGTGAGAAGAGTGAATGGTAAGGCTGGTCTGTTGTGTTTTCTTAGAAAGCTCTCACTGGGCATTCTAATTAGAGAATGTTCTTTACCAGATGGACTAAAACTTTACTGAGTACAGATTAGGGTTGCTAGGATCATGTCCATGTCGTTCAATTATACCAGATTCTTCTTCTATTTGGAACTTGTGTTGTTTTCCTCCAATGGCCTCTTCCTTTTCTCCAGTTAGCGCACACAAAGACTAGCAATGTCTAAAATGGCAACTGCACACATGCTAGCCTCAACATTAACCTACAACTTGCACTAAATCTAGCATCCAATTATGCAAACTTGCATAAATTGTGACTTATCTGTATATGAAAAAACAACAATGGACCATTTGTTAGAGATTCCTTCTTAAAGCAATGAGCTTTTGGGGGGAGGAAATGCATATAGCTTTGGAGTGATGCACAATCCTATTCTCCTATACATAGGCTTTTTGGAGGGTTATTTTTTTGTATGTATATCTGTGAGTTAGTTTTTTTATTCCTGGCAATTGCTTGAACCAATCTCTCCAGGTTTCTTGTCAAGGTTTTTCAGAAATAGATTTCCATTGCCTCCTTCCTAAGGCTGAGAGTGACTGGCCCAAGGTCATGCAGTTGATTTCTTGCATAAGGTGGGGCTAGAATTCACCCTCTCCTGGTTTCCAGCCTGGTGTCTGACTGACTCTTATACATAGATCTAGAGCAGTGTTTCTCAACCTTGACAATTTTAAGGCATGTGGACTTCAACTCCCAGAATTCCACAGCCAGCAATGTGGAATTCTGGGTGTGGAATTCTGAGAGTTGAAGTCCACATGCCTTAAAATTGTCAAGGTTGAAAAACACTGCTCTAGAGAGTTTCAATTTTTAAAGTGTATTTATTTGAAATTGTGGCTATATTTCTCCTTGTCCTGTCAAAATGTATTTCTCAACCACTTTTTACAGCTTTTTGGTGGATTAACCAAGTGCTATACTGGAAACTGCTCTACAACATCTTTGGGGGAGTTGTGCAACATTTGTGTATGTGTGGACTGCAGTGGACCCATCATCACACACACAGCCCAGAGCAGTTCTACTAATAGAAGGTGTTGAACAGAAAGTAACAGTTAATCCAGCCTTTGTTAGCATCCTGTATGCATTAGTTAGGGAGGAAGGCATTGCAAATGCTGAGTATTGCAAATTGCCATGTTTTTCCAATGATACATTGGAAGTTCTGTCCTGTAATTCATTGCTGCAATTTTTAAGTCAATTATTCTCAAGCAAGCTAAGAATATTTTTAGAGATTGACTTTGTATTTCTGATGCTGAAAGCACACATTTGGATGTGTGCCCTTTATTTATTTATTTTTCATTAATTGGGCTTTTATAGACCATTTAAATCAGTGGTTCTCAACCTTTCTAATGCCGCGACCCCATAATACAGTTCCCCATGTTGTGGTGACCCCCAACCACTTATACATCACTGGGTGTCAGGGGCGTGGCCAAAGAAAAGGGGAAAAAATGGCGGATAGCCTTGTTTGGCGACCCCCGTGAAATGGTCGTTCCACCCCAAATGGGGTCCCGACCCACAGGTTGAGAACCACTGATTTAAATCCTCTCTTCCAAGACATGAAATGGTGATACCTAGTTTTTTTTCAGAACAATAATATCAATAACAAGAGGAAGAATAATAATTCTTTCAGTCAAAAAGTAGGCTCCTTTACCTTCCTAATATAATAGATCCTGAGGATCTGTTGATTGTCTGAAATAGTAGAAGAGCATCTTGACACTTGTCTCATTACAGGTCAAGTACTTGGAGCAACAGAATAAGCTTCTGGAAACCAAATGGAACTGCCTGCAGCAGCAGGAACCTGTGGAGAAGGCCAACATTCAGCCTCTCTTTGAAAATTACATCACATCCTTGAAGCAGCAGCTGCAGCGGCTGCTGAATGAAAGGGAACAGCTGCAATTGGAGCAGTCAAAATTCCAGGATATGGTTGAAGAGTTCAAAAGCAGGTAATCAGTGAGAGGTCAAAGCAGGTGGGAAGAAAATGATGCTTGTAAGGCCTACCCGTGTCAGAAAGTAGTTGGGGAGCCTTGAAAATGGAATTGGGTTCTCTTAAATATGGAACTGCCTTTTTATTCTGTAGTAGCAAGCAGAGGCCCGCTACCCATCAAGTCAGGTGGGCACTGCCCTTTCTGGACTGCTGTGGGGCAACAGAGCTCCTGGCTGAATGTAGATCTTCTGGCATGGGTGAGGAGAGGGAGACCTTTATCCATTATAGTCCAGTGGCTATTATCTCTTGCATTGTTTCTAGTATTTTTAAAGCAGAAATCCATAACCTGGGGCCCCAAGCAATGTGTGCCCTCCAAAAACTTGAGTGTGGTTCTCTGGGTCCCTCCCCAAATTGCCACCTGCTTATAATTGTTAATGTGGCAGAAGGTGTTAATTGCTACCTGCCCTGGGGAAGTGGGAAGGGCAATTATATCCAATGTGCTTAATCATATTAATTTAATGATGTGCTAATTTAAAAGGAAAGAAAGCAAAGTTAAGTCTGCGTTGGATTTATTTATTTGTTTGGTTGGTTGTTTGGTTAGTTAGTTGGCTGATTAGTTATAAAATTTATTCCCTTATTTATTTATTTTTTGTCAAAGTCCCATTGACTAAGGGTGAAGAGCAGACATTAGTCTAACCAACCAAAAAGGTGATAAAGTCTGGCTGTAGAGCAGTCTCGGGCAGCATTAAAATTATTGCCCATTTTGTACTACTGTCTTTCATACAGAAAAGGTTGGGGTGGAACCCTGGCTGAACATCATACAAAGATTCCCAGCTTTTGAAGAACAAAGTTCTACCTTTCCTTTCCCAAAGCATGCTATGTGTGTCCTAGTATCTCCTCTTCCTTCTTCAAATCCGGAAAGTGTTTGTAGACCTAGTGTTAGATGGAGTAATGCTGGCTGAAGTCTGTCCTTTTGAGATAATTGAAATTCTTTGAGATGATTCATTATCTGTACAATAGCCAGGAGGATCCTAATCCAGCCAATGAAACCTCTCTCCAAGTTCTGCTCCAACCATCAAGGGGCATGAGGCAAAAGCTTTGGACTCACACTCTGCCCCAATCCTGACATTCACTCACACAAATTTTGCAGTTCATTTGTTTTATTTGTACCTTGCGTATATATTTGTTTGTTCAAGCTCTTGGATATCTCCTTTTTTTCCACCTCAAGGTATGAAGAGGAAATCAACCACCGGATAAGTGCAGAAAATAATTTTGTGCTGCTAAAAAAGGTTAGATATTTCTGGTTCCTATATCTCCAAAAAGTGTAATTAAAATGATTCAACCCTCACCCAATATGTACACACTTCTGAGTAGTAGTAATGCTGGATTCGATGGAACGTAGGTTTATTGCAATAAAAATAAAGCCCTGTGAAATTTACTTGAGATCACTATGAGCCACTTTGAGACATTTTGAGACAGAGTGCAAATTGATTTCATTCATCCATTCATAACATACAAACATTTCCGTGTTCCTCACTCATTAATCACCAGTAGTATATAGAGTGGAGTTCAGGAGGCATGCTCTTTTCCTATTCCTTCCAGCTAATCATTTCTTGTTGATGGTGACATTCTGCTGGAAATGGTGACTCTGTCCCCTGTAGAACTTATCTGTCAATTTTTGAGTGATCACTGGAAGAGGAGAGATGGGACAAACAGCCCAATCTTCTTTACTGGTGTTCAAATTTTCAGTGTTTGGAAATCATGCTTTTTTTTTCTCATGATAGGTCCCAGGCTGACACACATTTCCAATATAGCAGATGATCCGCAAGATGCCAGTAGAGCAAACCATATAGCCAATGCTGATTAAGCGGCTAGGGTTAATGGGACTAATTGTCCAATATATTGGGAGGAGACCAGACTAGGAAAAAAATCCTATATAAGACACTCATAATAATAGTGAGGAACTGAAGGTTCATTTGATCAACAATCATATCAAAGTCATGAGTGGAGAATATGGAAAAAATCTTTGGGGGGAGAACACATAATAAAATGTTTTGACAAGTGAGTTTTGTTCCATTAAGGTAAATGTACTTTCTGTCATGCTTTTCAGGATGTTGATATTGCCTATAGCAACAAAGTTGATCTAGAAGTGAAAGTGGAATCATTGAGACAGGAGCTCAACTTCATCCAATGTGTCTTTGAAGCTGTAAGGATTTCTACATATGTGGCTTGTTTGTTCCTTCTGCACTGAAAAGATTCATAATCTCTGTTTCCCTTGGGTTACTTTTTTTTCCATTTTACTTTGTACCAGGAACTGGCCAAAAGAAAGGAGAGAATCTAATTTCTTTTTCATAAACCAAGGCAGAGGGATGGAAAAGATCCAGCTCTCTCCCAAATAGTTATGTATCAGAAGAATCCAAGCAACAGAAAGGATTCCGATTTGCAGGCCCATTGCAAACATTGCAGGGGATCCTCCTTAAATAGAGGAACCATGGTGGTGCTGCGGTTAGAATGCAGCATTGCAGGCTAATTCTGCCAACTGCCAACAGTTCGATCCTGAGCAGCTCAAGGTTGACTCAGCCTTCCAGCCTTCCAAAGTTGATAAAATGAGGACCCAGATTGTTGGGGGCAATAGGCTGATTCTTTAAACCACTCAGAGAGGGCAGTAAAGCACTATAGAATGATGAATAAGTGCTATTGCTATTATTGACCACCGTAAATGATGGTTGATTTTAATTATAAACCAAGTTCATATACTATATATAGTTCAAGAATTTATAAATATCTGCATCAGAGAACAGGTGGAGCAGGATTTCCAGATTCATCAGGCTCTATAATTACAAAAGTGATGTGACCACTTCAGGTGATATTTCATGAGAGTGGCAGTGAAGTTCCTGGATATTCTTTCTGAACATCTTGACTGTTCTTCCAAATTTGAGAATATAGTTGTGGATGTCTTACAATCTGATATAGTCCCTGAAATGATTTATTACCCAAACTAGGTAACATCATCAGTGCTAGACTGATGATGTTATCTAGTTTGGATAATGAAATGTTTGCAAGAAAACAATCAGGCTCAGAGAACACCAAGGACCCCTCATTTCAACCCTGAGATACAAATATTCTCCTTTATTGCTATGGCCCCTGAAACTTTTCTGTCACTGTTACTGAAATAGGTTGCATATATTGCAAATCAAACCAGCTATCCTAGGAATGAAGAATAGTGCAGCAGTCTTCTCTAGAGTCTTGAGGGAAGGGGTTAACAAGTGGAGGGAAATGGTATAATTGATAATTGGATCATTTGCTCAAAGGAGAAGATGTGAACCTTTCTAACATGTCTTCTTGTACTGGGATAGGCGTTTCCTGCATTATTCAGAGTACTTTCAATATCTTTTGCAACTTCTTCTTGACAGGAGATAGAGAGTTTACAGGCAGCAAATGCAGAAACCAATGTTATTGTGTCAATGGACAACAGTCGAGTCCTTGACATGGAAGGAATAATACACTCAGTGAGATCTCAGTATGAAGAGATTGCCCAGAAGAGCAAGGATGAGGTCAATGCTCTGTATGAAAACAAGGTAGGCTTGGCTTAACTTATGTTCCCTAGAGGGAAATGAGTGTTTTTATGATTATTGAAGTTAGTAGAATCCAAAGTTACAAAGCAACAACAAACATAAAAGAATAGGCTTTCTCCTGTATTTCAGTACAAAGAGCTACAGAACACATGGGGAAATTATTGCAACAATCTCAGCAGTGGCCATCGTGAAATCCAAGAACTTACCCGTATGGTCCAGAGATGCAGAAGTGAAGTGGAAAGTACCAAAAAACAGGTAAAGAAGCTGATCTAAGTCCAGAATAGGCAAAAAAATGTGTTTGCCAGATGCTATTGAACAACTCCCACCTGTCTTCCATCAGTAGAGCTGATGTTGCACTGTGAAGGCAAGAAAAGTCCAACTTCCGAAGAATCATCCATTACTCACCTCTTCACTAAATGCACAGGGAACAAAGCACACTTTACTACTTTACATTTGATAGTTTTAATTTTAACATCTAGAATTGGGCATGTATATAAAAAAATAAGGACACGATCAAATCCAAATCCATGTCCTGTCTGATCCTGAGAAAGGCAGGAAGCAGCATGGGCAGTGCAGGCCCTAGAAAGGTACATGTTACACACTGCCCCATGAGCTGTATTGGTTACCAGTTTTTTTCCAGGTCCAGTTCAAGGTGCGGATTTTGACCTTTAAAGCACTATATGGCATGAAGACAAGTTGTTTGAGGATCTGCCTCCCCACAGTTGTATCTATGCTTCCTATCGGGTCCAGCAGGAGAGGCATGTTATAGATTCCATATGCTAAGGAGCTGCATCTGATGGGAACTTGGGGATGGCCCTTTTCTGCCCTGGCACCTCCCCTCTGGAACATCATCCCCCCGCCAATGTTGACACTCTCTCTCACTCTCTTTCTCTCTCCCTCTCTCTCTCTCTCTATTTCATAATTCTAAACTGCCCATTTCCCTCCAAGATTAATTCCAATCCTATTGACCTTTAGGAAATCTTTCAGCAGGCCTCAGGATTCCTTGGTAACAAAGAGGCCACAAGTTGGTTGCATTATGCATTCTCCCATGATCTTGTTTTTATAAATATATGTCTAATTGTTTTTAATAGTGACTTAAGATTGTTTTAATTGTTAATTTTATTGAATGCCATCCATGGATGCACTCATGAGATGAGCAGGTATACAAATCTGATGAACAAACAGATGTGAATTTATTGGGAATTTTTCCAGTGTTAATTTTATAGATTAAGAATACAGTGCTGATATTTACATTAGATCTCCCATCAAGTCTTTCTTAGGCTTGTCCCTGATTGGCTTCCAAGTTCAGACAAGATTGAATTTGTTCAGATAGTATGGCTCTAGTATTATGAATTAACAGACATTTTGATCATTCTGAAATGGGATGCAAAACCTAGGGGCCATCATCATTAAATGTGATCCCCAGAGTCCCTCCAAAATATACTACTGAATGATCATTTTTAATATGCAGAAAGGATAAATGACAAATGACATGGGGACTCAGCAGATTAAATGTATAATTAAAGTTCACTTCAAGCACATTTGACTTACCCTGTCCTCTTCTTCTTGGGGAGCCATCTAAAGACCAACTTCATCCTCATCCCCAGAAGAATTGATAGAACATTAAGAATCACTAAAATTCAGACAATCTGATTGATGGATTTACAAAAAGAACGTGCTTTCTTTCTCTCTCTCCCCCCCCCAGTCATTTTGTGCCTCTGTATTTAACTCCCCCTTTCTCTCCTCTCCACTTCCTGCTGATGAAGCTCCACTTGTCCCAAGTTCATTTTTTTTTTTTTTGGTCTGGCTTTTTTCAAGATTGATGCTTTACAGACATCTATTGCTGACAATGAGCAGCGAGGAGAGAGTGCTTTGAAAGATGCCAAGTTAAAGCTAACTGAGGTAGAGAACAATCTGCAGAACTCAAAAGATGAATTGGCTCGCCTGCTGAGAGATTACCAGACCATGCTGAATGTCAAGATTGCCCTGGATATTGAGATTGCTATGTATAAGTCACTTCTGGAGGGAGAAGAGAAGAGGTAAGTGGGTTAAAAAAAAAATGGCAAAAAATTCCAAAACATACAACTACAGATTGCTAATGTTCTTGTGGGAAAGTCATCTGATCATATTTCAGGACTATAATGTGCTGTAATAAAAATACTGAATGAATCAGCTGATACTTTCAGTATAGAGAGAGCTGCTATTTAAATTGCTTTTCACTGTTTATGGCCATTTTTTTACCTTTAATAAACTCCAGATTGTGATTGGGGGGGGGGTAAAAAACATAGGACAAATACACTAATATACAGCATTTGAATCCACCAGCTGTCCTAAAGGATCACAGTTCAAAAATGAGCTGGGAAAGTGTTTAAACATTTGAAACTCAATCAGCCATCTCCTTCATACTGATATCTGGGATACATAACTAGCTTCTTGGGACATTAATAATTATTCTTTCTCTTTTCTCCACAGGATATCTAATGCTCCTCCTGTTAACATATGTAAGTATTTTTGAAAAGCACATGTGTATCGTCATGAATATTTGCCTGATGCCCTAGATACATAACCTTGGATTACAAAAAAAGAATGTTATTCAGCATTGCTTCCCCCCCCCCCTATTCTTATAGCTGTTGTAGGTTCTTCCAACATCTCTGTAGCTGGTGGATGTTCTTATGGCAGGACAATCGGAAGGAGACAAGGTTACACCCAAAGAAACAAGAACAGCAGTGGAAGATCCAGCTCTAGAAGTGGAGATCATGGCAGCAAACATGCACTAACCCCTAGGAGTGGAGACAGCCTTTCTAAATCCTCCATAAGCTCTGGGTTTGGACAAAGTGGTAGCCCTACTGTGGTCTCATCTACTCCTAAGAATTCTGATCTGGCCAATGTGGGAAGTCCTGGAAGTGGAGGGTATAGTTCTAAGAGTAGAGGATACAGCAGCACAAACACAACACATATTTCTGCAACTACTGGGGTTTCTAGCAAAGGTGCCTCCGGAGGGATCTCTGTGAGTGGCAGCTATAATATCCAGAGCAGTGGAGGATACTCTGGGGATGATTACATCAGTCTTTATTAGAACATGGCACAATGACATCTCAACATTCTCCACCTCTTTGTGAGCAAAACTGTAGCACACTCTAAAAATTAAACGAGGGAAGGAAAATTTCATTAAACTTCTGCTGGGGCAAGTTTTCCACTAAGTTCCCCATGTATGGGTAATCATTTGCTGTGACAGTGCACAGCTTTTTCAGTTTATTCCTGAAGCTAATTGTTCCTGTCAATGCAGGGGGTGGGATTAATAATTGCATTGGGAGCCTTTTTTGCCATCTCCACAAAGCCATGGATATTGAGTGTGTTTATGTGTGTGTGAACCACTTAAAATAATAAGAAGTCAGTTGGCCATGTTAGGAAAAACATGGGTAGAAACAGAGATGGGGAAGGAAAGGGAAGACTTTCCAAACTAGTAGAATACTTCAGCAGATATTTTAAAGGATTACGCCTTGAGCAGCAGGTGTTTCCCGCTAATATTTATTTAAAGAAGCCTCATTTAATCGCTCCCCTGCCCCCAAATGAAAACCAGTAGCTTACTTTCCTTTTTGTCTAGGCAGTGGGTTGGGTAAAATCATATTTA